GCCTGGTGTTTTAGTATTTTACTTATATGATATTTATTTCGTGAAAAATAATTTTTTAGAGTTTTTATTGTTGTTTATTATTAGAGAAATCCATCAATAGAAAATATTTTTGAGTCAGAAAAATTTAACCATGTTTTTAAGAAATTTTTTTCTTTTTATTTTGAGAGGAATATACTTTCTAAAATTAAAAAAATAAAAAATATCTTATTATTTATTGATTATATCAAATTTAATTCTTAATTTTTTTTATTGCTATATGTTTTGTTTTGAATTATTTATTTATTTATTTTTCTACTACATCCCTTAGAATTTGATATAATTTGATTTTTATATCAACCTTAGTTTTTATTTTTTAAATTGTAATTTATTTTATTTGAAATAATTTATGAAATTAATTTTTTTAATTTTATCATCTTTTTACTTTTTTATTGTCAGATTTGATCTTTTTTTTATTTGCTATTTATTTTATTTGAAATAATTTATAAGATTAATTTTTTTATTTCATTCTCCTTAAAAAAAATTTATATGTCAAATTTAATTCTCATTTTTTTTAACAAGTTTGAAAAAAATTAAAACATTATTAAGTTATTTTTTATTTTTTTTTGTAATATAGTCAAACATTGAAAAATATTTTTCAACTTATTTCTATGATATTGTCAAACATTATAAAATAATTTATTTTTCTAAAAATTAACTATTAAAAAAACTAAAAAAAAACTTGGCCTTAATAGAATTTAATTTTCTTTTTTATTTTCCTTCATGCTCAATTTCCTGCTAAGCTAGTGATTAAGGGACTGTGTTGACTCTTGACTTTCTCGTATGGAACAATCATTTTTAAGCATAACAGTGAACTTAAATGAGTTTCCAAATCTTGAAATGGGTGGTTCATTGTTATAGAAATGACACACTGGATTTTGATATACTTTGGGTTACACAGAAAAAGAGTAATATTCTATTTTTTTTTATAAAAAACTCCACGTTGAAATGTAATATTTTCCCATTTAGAAAACTAGAAAATTAGTTTTTTTTTAGATTGTGTTGATTAACATAAAAATATTACCCTTTTTTATTTTCAATTTTTTCTATTTTTATTTATAATAAAAAATTAGAATTGTGTTGATTTAATGAGAACAAAGATGTTTTGTTTTCTAAAAATAAAAAGAGAAATACATCAAAATTATAAGTATTTTTTATAAAACAGTAAAACCATAATTTTTAATAGTCATCTTGATATTTTGTATTCATGGTAATCTAATTGTGAAATATTAATCTTATTTTGTTCAAAATAAAAATTATAAAAACAAGATTATATTGTTAACCCAAAAATATCCTTATATTGTTTTTTTAGTAAAAATTAAATTTATGAAAATAATAAAGTATAAAAAATAATTTTAATTTTTTTCATTTCCAAAAAAATTTGTATATAAGAGAAAAAAATTATTGTTTATATATATTTTTCATTTGAAAAACAACAAAAAAACTTGTAAAGAAAAACTGTGAATAACCTCTAAAAGATATTTTCCAAACTCGATGTGAATTTAGAAGATTTTTTAGTTTGTTGGAGGGATAAAAATCACATTTGAAATGAAGTTTCAATTTCCTTTTCTAATTTCAGTTTTTCAGAAAATCAGAATATTGCTTTGTTTCTCAACAACCCCTCTTTTTCTCAATTTTATAACCAGTTTAAAAACACATTTTAGAGGTTATTCATAAATGTTTTACAAGTATTTCATTTTTTATATGAAAAAAAGATATGAACAATATATTTTTTTCTAGCAATTTTAAAAATTAAAATTACTATTTTTATATTTAATTAGTGTCATAAATGTAATTTTTATTATAAATATAATTCTTCATGATAATTCTTAACTAATGTCTTATAATTAGATTATCATGAATTTATAATATTAAAATGACTATTATGAATAATGGTTTTTATTTTTCCATAAAAAGTAGTTGTAATCTTGATTTTTTATAAAAAAAATATTTTTATTTTTGATAAAAGAACATTTTTTTTAAATTTTCATTATAAAAAAATGATTACAGAAAATGAAAATAGTTTTTTTTTTTTTTGGATGTAAGCAAATAGATAATGTGTTGATTCTTAAAATTTAGGAATTGGGATCATGGTATATCCTTTTGCAAACATCATGATACCATGGAGGACCAACCCCGAACAACCGGTGGACCCCGGTGGACCTACTGGATGGTGGTGGTGGCTTTTGAATCTTTGAAGTCAGACATTCATAATAGACATAAAACCAGATGTCATCTTGTTGGACTGCTAAAGTGGGCGCATAATCATATTAATTGATTAACAAAATATTAAACAGTGCGGTTAAATCACTGTTTTCACTCCCATGAAATACCAGTTATTAAAATAATGTTTTGTATTTTCCTGTTCTTCTTGTTTTTAATCTTCTTTTTTTTTTCACTAATCGAACCCTTCAATGATTTTTTTTTTATAATTTTTTTATAATATTTAATTATTTTAAGAATTATGCTTTATATTTTTTATTAAATTGTATATTAGTCTCATAAATTTAATTTCCCCCTCTCAATTTCAACCTTAAGTATTATATTTGTGGCAAGTGGGTTTTTCTCTCTCTCTCACACACACATGTATATATATAAATTTTTTATGAGTTTACTTGATTTCATAATTTATACAAGTTTAATAAGTTAATTTAAATTATTTTTTAAAATTTTTATTTTAATTCATAATTTAACATTAAGTTAGTTAGAAATTGGACTTCATAATTATTTTTAATTTTATTTCTATAAATTTATCTCGATCTCATAAATTAGATAATGAATTTGACAAGTTAACCTGAGTTGGATCTGTTTATTTTTTTAGATTCTTTTTTAATTAAATATTTTTTTAATTAAGATTCATAATTTTTTTTATTTGCTTTTCACGTGGTTATCTCGATCTCTTGATCCAAGTTGTCAGTTTGATAAATTGACCTGAACTGACTTATTTTATTTTTAATTTTTTTTTTCAATTTCACTATCAAACAACTTAATATCAAGTTGAATAAATTATAACTCGGGTTAGAGATTTGACAGATTAATCTCGGTTGACTTATATATATTTTTCCCACCTTTTAATTTAATATATATTTTTAATTTTATTTTTTAATGTTGAGTTTGATTAATAATTGATTTTCATAATTTATTTTGATTTGTTTTCTATATGATTATCACAATCTAGTGATCCACGTTTTGATAAACTAACTTGAGTCTATCTAATATGTCGCAATCTCAATATTTTAAAAACAAATGTCTTTCAATATATTACCATATCAATATTTTAAAAATATTGTTTAATATGTATTATATTTTTAGTTTATGATAAACTTTATTTATTAAAATACACGTTTTATTAGCTCGCTTGAGTCTATAAAGTATACTTTTCAAAAAATAGAGTCTCCTCAAATTCAAAAAAATTATTTAGATAATTTTTTCATATTAAAAAAAATTAATTAAATTTACAATAAAGTCTATACAAGACCAATTATCCAGTGATTTAGAAAATCACATCTATAATCACTGCTGCGATGCTCTTAATATTTATTTAACATCCAATAATCAAGAACAGCATAGCTATATTTAAAATTTATGAAGTCTTTGAAAAAAATACAATAAAGGGTGGCATACCTCTAGATAAAATGAAGCAATTAGGCAAATGAAAAGAATAAAAATAAAGCTCAATCCACACGCTTCATGTGACTACTTTTAGATCGGAGTGCAGGGAAAAGCAAAGGCATGTGGTCCGGCACAAATGAGTGTCTCTGTCCGCCATGGCCTCTCTTCTTCCTTTCCTCCACCTATTTTGTGGTGCCATCTGATAGAATCCACCTTTCATTTTGCCCTTGTCATACCATAACTTGTCTTTTGACTTCTGTTTTTGCCTTGGTTTTTACTTTTCTTCCTTTTATTTGCTGGCATGTTTAAATGACCTTGGATAAATGCTTTCCTGAAAATATCAACCAATGTATGGAAGCACTCATATTACATTATTATCAGTACTATTATTATCATTATTGGGAATGAATGGTTCTAAAATATTTAGAAAAAAATATTTATTATAGCTCTTATATTTTACAAATTATTGATATTGGCTCCCTTTAGTTTCCAAAATTAAAGGACAAAAAATTAATTTGGATGCTAAACTTTATTTTTTCTATTTTTTGACTTTGATATAAGAGAAATGAAAAAAAATCATGGAAATATAGCATTAGAAAAATAAAATCTTTGTTTATATCAATTAGACAGACATAAAAATATTGAAATTGATGTCAAAATTCTTCTTTTGATGAGGAAAGCACATGTTAGGGGTTTATTTACCTTGAAATTTCCAAGAAAATTAAATGTGATTTTGGTAAGTTTTTTTTGTTTTGAGTTAATTTCAAGTTTTATAATGGTTTTATGAGATCATTAGTGGATTTATCAGATTCACTATGATATTTTTTAGTTATTTTGAGTAAAAAAATAAGTTGATTGGGTCTAAAAAACTATTAACCTATTTTTTTTAATAATTATAGTAATTAGAAATTAGATAACACATGCAATATATTGTTTGATTTGTTTTTTTAAGTTATTTGCCCTAAATACAAAGAAAAAAAAAGCTTAAAATGCTTGGTCCTATAAAATATATTGGTTGGCCTAACCTGACTTAACTTGATTTTTTATATATTTATTTTTAATTTTTTTTTATTTATATTTAGATTTGTGTCTTTTTTCTTTTATTTTGTTTAAAGAATCTATTTTAAAATAATTTTTAATTAATTTAATTATATATACACACTTAAATATTTTACGATTTTACTTAGAGTTTTTTTTTATTATAATAACATGTTAAAAAAAACATATCTAAGCAAGGACTACCACGCAAAAACCTGAAAAACAGGAATTAAACTATAATTTTCTTTAAAAGAAAAGGCTAGCAAACAATAATAAAATAAAATCACGCTATAATGGTTTCCTTCATGTAAGAGAGTTGAACACTGAAAAAGCAATTGAAATATCGAGAGAGAGAGAGGCCTTGGGGGTTTCTTCACTTTGGTGATGGTGTTGTCGAATCCGCTATCCCACAGTGTCATCTCCGTCATTTGACTGCTCATGCTCTTCTCCTTCTCCACCGGTGGCGGTGTCTTTTGGAAATGGATTGTGTTCGCCGAAGCTAGCACTGGAAGCACCAGGTCGGGGAGGAACGGCTGGATTGTTGGTGGCGCTGGCGGTGGTTTCTGGGGTGCCGCTACGGCTCCTTCCAATGTTGGTATCGCCATCGCTGTCACGGCCATGGCCGGTATCGCCTTGGCCGGCACCGTCGTCTATTCTCGGAGGTAAAACAACAAAATCAACAATCAAAATCCTAATTCTTTCGAATAACCGAGTCTCTAATTCTAAATTTAGATTAACCGTCCCCAAAGAAACCCTAGATAGATATATCTAGATGTTGACGCAGCAGAAACCGTTGATGAAAGCCTTAAGGCGAAGCCACACTCGTTCCTCTTCATCTTCTTCGCCGTCAAATTCCTCCTCACCGTCGTCGTCTTCATCGTGGATTCATTTGAGATCAATTTTATTAGTTGTTGCTTCCTTGTCATCGTCGCCTTCATCATCTTCTTCCTCACCAGTTTCCACTAATCGGTGAGTTCTTCTATTCCTCTATATCAAGTTTTCAGTTTTTTTTGGCAATCTCTTAGTTGTCTAAAAATGATCCCTTTTGCTCGCCATGTTATTCTATCTTGCTAGATTCTGAATCTTTCGCTCCTTTCTCTTGCCTTTTGCTGTTGTTATTAGAATTCCGGAACATTTCTTGAATCTGTGATGGTGTAGATGCGATGTGCAACTAAAATGTTTAAACTTCAGTAGAAGAATAAATTCTAAAGTGCCTTGTGAAAGAATAATTGTCACTCATAGAGTTAGCTGTTCAATGCGTTCTCCCATTTAGGAAGGCAGTGAAAGCAAATTGCTTATACCCTCTCTGATTCGATATGTGAAAAAAGAAAATCGAGGTCTATTTTGTGGTTTGGGAATCTGGTTTTCGTTGATGATTATTATCAAATAACTTATTTTTGTTTCTTTTTTCATCACAGGGGTGGGCTTAAATCACCTTGGTCGCGTAGGAGAAGAAAACAAGCGCTTTTACCAAAGCAATGGAAAAGTTTATCTGTGCCTGATGGGAAACTGTGTGATGGTGGTGTTAAGTTTCTGAAGAAAGCACGAAGTGGGGTATGTTGCTGTCTCTACCGTGACTGAATTTTTTACCGTTTTGTTTAGTTATTCATCAGGTCTCATGTTGTTGTTTTTATGTCCTTGATGCTTTATTTCCAACTGCTGATGGAGTGTTATCTTTTCCCAAACTCTAATGCAGGGTATTGATCCAAGTCTTAGACCAGAGGTTTGGCCATTTCTCCTTGGAATGTAAGTTCTTGTTTGTGTGTCTGTTTATATTTGATTTTCTTAGAATCTACATGCCAAAAATTTGGTTGAGTTGGGTTTCTTATCTACTTTATTTTTCCTTCTGATGTTTTATTTATAATTAAGCAAAATAACAGCTTTTTATCAGTACATTCTGTCATTAAATTTGGGCTGTCACAAGGTGCTCTATCTGTATATTTGGAAAAATCATTAATTGTAGGCTAGGAACAATGTAATTGTTGGCAACAAATTTGCTGAATGCAAACAATCTCATAGAAAAGGTCTCAACATTTATAATTTTCCAATTTGGAACACGCACTTGCAATTTATGCTATTATTTTCTGATTGTTCTTCCTAGGAAGCTTTTTTCTTTTTGTTTGTGTTCTTTTGTTGTGAGGATGCATTAACACTGCTCTTTGTATTCATGCCGAGTTATTTTCAACAGCTATGATGTGAACAGTTCCAAGGAAGAAAGAGATTGCATCAGAGATCAGAAAAGGTACCATAATTCTCTCTCAATACAGTTTTTAGTGATGGATGAAACCTTATCTCTTTTCCAAATTCCTTGTAATCTTGGGTTTTCTGTTCTTTCGGTAGTCAAGGTTCTTATATATAAATGCACTGCAGAAAAGAATATGAGAATCTACGGAAACAGTGCTGGCGGAAGCTCAAATGCAATGACAGGAGTTTTAAGGCCAAGGAAGCTGCTGAAATCAGCAGCGCTGAGGTTAGTAGGGACTTGAGTCAAGTTATGGATTCTCCTAGATTAGAAGATGTTGCTAGTTCCAGGAGGGTCACCTTCTGCTGAGCAAGGCAACATAACTGCCGAGGATTCGGATTGCCCCGACCAAGCCCCTCAGGGCTCTGACTCGATATTGGAAGGAGATGGTCACTTATGAAGATGGCTTGGCTGGAGACACAGAGTCAAGTGATCCTGATTCCTCTGAAGAACCTGAAATCGCAGAATCTTTTCTTGCAACTGAATTTACTGGTGAAAATGATTTTCATCTGCCTTCTTGGGGGAATTCCTCTCCCTCTGAGACAGAAAGCAAGTTGAAATTGCAGCTGAGAATCATGCGTGTTGATGCAGTGCAGGCAAATGGTGAATGGATAATGTACTCGCCATCTCAGGCTGCAGTACCAGAGATGAAGGCATGGCAGTTCGCTGAGAGTGTAGGGTTGCAGGACTATGATCACTTGGAGCCAAGCAGGATCTTTCATGCTGCTCGCCTTGTCACTATCCTTGAGGCATATGCACTTTATGATCCTGAGATTGGTTACTGTCAAGGAATGAGTGATTTACTCTCACCCATTATTGCAGTGATGGAGGAGGATTTTTTAGCCTTCTGGTGTTTTGTGGGCTTCATGAAGAAAGCCCGGCACAATTTCCGTCTCGATGAAGTGGGAATCCGGAGGCAACTGGGTCTTGTTTCCAAGATAATCAAGTGCAAGGATAGCCATCTCTACAAGCACCTGGAGAAGCTTCAAGCGGAAGACTGCTTCTTTGTGTACAGAATGGTGGTGGTTCTTTTCAGAAGGGAGTTAAACCTTGATCAAACACTCTGCCTCTGGGAGGTGATGTGGGCTGACCAGGCAGCAATACGGGCAGGGATTGCCCAGTCTGCCTGGGGGAGGATGAGGCTAAGGGCCCCTCCTAGTGATGATTTGCTGCTTTATGCAATAGCAGCTTGTGTGCTGCAGAGGAGGAAACTGATCATTGAGAAGTACAGCAGTATGGATGAGATCATGAGAGAGTGCAATAGCATGACTGGCCAGTTGGATGTCTGGAAGCTTCTCGATGATGCTCATGACTTGGTGGGCAACCTGCACGACAAGATTTAAGAAAGAATCTTTCCTAAACCTCTTTATCTCCCTTGTTCTCTATAGATTTCCATTTTTTTTTCCTTTTGTCCTTGTCGCAATGTTCAGATCCCTTCAAAACTAAGGGATCTTCAGATCACTTAACAAACGCAACTTAAGGCAATTTGTGTAATGGGGTAAGTTTATGGAAATCCGAATGCGGTGCCCGCACTCAGCCCACCTCGAGTGATGGTGGCATTATTGCAAAATTAGCATTTCTAATCTTCGTTTTTTTATTTCTTTGGTCTTTCGACAAGGGAGATTTAGAAAAGAAGGGAAAGAATAAAAAGAATAGGGTGGGGACAAGAAGAAAAGCAGCATGAGAAGAGAGGAAAGAAAAGGGGGAGGAAAATCTGTATTTTTTTTTGAAAATTATCATTGTTTTTAAGAAAACCTGGAAAAATATAATAATTAATATTTTTGATGAAATGGTATAGGATGATGACTATATGATTTTGTAAAAAGTCTGAGTTTAAGAATATTTATTTTTAAATTTTTTTTAAAGTCTGAGTTTAAGAATATTTATTTTTTTTAAAAAAATTGTTAAAATGTACTAATATAAATCTAAAAAAAGAAAAGGAAAGAGAACAAAAGGAAAAAAGTTTAAAGATAGGATGGAGCTTTGATTATAACAATATTAATACCATTGAAAATTTTGATGACAGCTTTGATTATAATAATGTTAATACCATTAAAAAAATTATGACATCAAGAAAGGTAATGACAAAAGTTAACTATATTTTGGTCAAAGATAAGTTAACAATTATAATTAGAAAAGAAAAAAAAATCCTAATGACACATTAAAATTTTAATTACAATATCATTGATATCATTTAAAAGAATATAATGAGATGAATTTGATAATATTAAAAAAGGTTGCCAATAATAATTATAGTGGGCCACACACTATGAGCAATTCATTTGCTTTTAGGTAGAGAATGTGGCCAACTCTTGTTATCATTTGTGACTTTTTTTAGTTTTGTTGAATTTCTCTCATTGACTTTTTTATTATGATATTGATAATGTCGTAATCATGCTTTTAGTATGCTTCTAGTGTCTTTTTCTTTCTTCTCTCTCTCTCACTCCTCTCTTTTCTTTGAAATTTATACGGGTTTATTTTAACAATTTTTCTAGAAATTGATATTCCCTACCTTAACTTCTTACATAGTCGTTCTTCCTAATTGTGACATGTTCTAAATTGTGCTGTTTCGTCAAAAATTATTTTACTTGTATTATTAGCTATTTTTTTTTAACTAGTGTCAAAAATTATTTTACTTGTATTATTAGTTTCTTTTTTTTTTTAACTAGTATTATATGTGAAAATACCCAAGATCTTTTAATTCATCTAAAAAATTATCTACAATGTAAAAAATTACATATAAATAAGAAAACCTTAACTACTATTAACAATTGGGATTATAGCTTACTACATAAAATATTCAACAAGATAACATAAATTAACCCCAATAAGAAACCTAAATAAAATCCAATAATATAGGCTTGAATGTGCACAATCTTTCAACTGAGAAAGAAAGATTGGGTTGTCCTTTATCATCTTCAATCATACATTTATGTGAACCGTGTCCCTGGTTTAGTGTCTTTACCAGCTTTCTTGGGGTTGAAGAAACTCGATCTAGTATAACTCCATGAAGCTCCAATAATACTCCAAAAAATCTTAATTAAACTATTGTAATGTATCTCTAGTGATTTAAGTACAATTTAAAGCACGCCGCCTTGCCACAAACTATGATTCATTAAACTTATCATCATTAGTAAAAAGAACTTATGCATCCAAAATAACATCAATATATTCTTTTTATATCAGTAGTAAGGTTAATAGGGTAATGATTTCAAAAGTCTCATCAAGGATATGTTATTGTCTTTTATATATAACTAGGATCCTTTATGTTAAAAATAGAAGTAAGACCAAATAAGACCCTATTCAAGTTTAATTAGTATCATGAAATAAATATTATGAAACTTATATAAATCAGCTTGAAGTTTGTATTATTCATTACTTGCTTAAATTTGTTTTATGATCTTAATATACAAACCATAAACTCTAAGTATAAAAGACTAAGTTGAGTTAGACGTCATTGCACGAGAAGAGACATAAAAAGACCTACACATATCTTAGGTTTGTGAACAAGTACACTATATGGAATGAAATAAGCATTATTTAAAACTTGAGTGAATATGGATCGAATACATTCTAGTAAATCATGATCATCCCCTTCTTCTTTGTCACATATAAATGGTACAAAACCTTAGAGTTTAGAATAACATATATCTTGAAACTTTTCTAACCACACTTATCTTTTTAAGTGATTTCGTTTGAGAGTTCATATCTTGAAACTTTTCTAACCACACTTACCTTTTTAAGTGATTTCGTTTGAGAGTTTTCTAAAACTTCATCTACAACCAAAACAAACATTACAATTTTTTTTTGAACCTCATTTACAAACTTATTAAGACTTATTGTGTTAAGTTCCTTTTTCTTTCATATCATCTTTATATAAGTTATGAAATTTATCAAGATTGAGTTCAAACACTTAATTACGATATCATTTCTCTTCACCTATATTCTTTTATTCTTTGATGAATGGGGTTTAGTGGTATAGTTGGCTACAATATGATCAAAACCTTGATATTTAGCACACTTGACTCTAGAACTCATTTTATATTCATCAAATTAAGTAACAAACTCACTAATAGTCTTGCTTAGTTGTTCAAGATTAATATATTAATCTAAACAATTATTTTTATAAGATTAGAGTAGATATTTCTCTAATTTTATTTTATCTCAATCTAATTGGTAATAGAAGATTTACCCCTAGTCCATAGATATTATTTAACACTCTTCTAGTAAAGGTGAGCGGTTCTACTAAAGTTTATTTTAGCAAATTTATCCCTTTTATTTTCAGAAAAATTATACAAATTAAAGAGGCCATGAGTAAAAATCAATGGATTACAATAACTATCAAAAGTGGAGCTCCCTCCTTTGTTACATCTCATACACGGCTCATCAAGGTTATCATAGTTTAGGTAACGTAGGTTATAATTATATTTTCCTCCAAGAAAATTCTATTAGATAAGTGAGTCTACAATAATTTGTTTTTGCAGGCAATGAAAAACTACGAAAAAGCTGTCCAACTTAATTGGAACAGTCCCTAGGATTATTTTTTATTAAATTCGTAAAAGTTCTTTTTTTTTTTTCATCTGAAGCTAGAATCCGTAATTCTCCCTTTTGTTTATATTGACCTTACCATTTATGAAATCCATTTCAGGTACTTAATAATTGGGGACTTGCTCTACAGGTATTTTGTCAACTATATGGTTCTCCTAATTCAGCACTGTTTATACGCTTTTTTTCCAAAGAGAACTTTTGCAGAGCCTTTTTTTTCTTTTAAATATTAATACCTTATGATGTTCTGGTATGTGTGATTGTCTAGGTAGTTTGTTTGATGCTATACTGAATTTTACAATTGTAGGAACTCAGTGCAATTGTTCCTGCAAACAATTGTGAGAACTGCAATTAGCAAGGTACAAAAAGTCATTTGAAGGTATTAGAGTGTCTGGATGCATGTATTGGACAAGCCGGAAGGAAATTTTGATTTGTTTTATGTCCTAAGAATAGGTCTACTTGTATCTTCTGTTCATACGATCCGCTTTTACATGTTTCTTTTATGATCGGAGGATTGGAAAGATAAGAATAAAGAGAAGAAAGAAGAAGAAAAGATACAGAAAATGTGTGTTCTTCATTAATTTCTTGCTTCCTACGTCAACTGGCCATTACATTTATATCAGATTTCTAAGCTAATACAAAAATGCTAGCTGACATTTTCTCATCACTAACATGTTTCTTATTCATCAACTAACTCTAACTAATTCTGTTTATTCAGTTATTTACAAAGCCACGTGTAATTGAATCTACTGCTGCTGCATTCTTCTGCTATGAGGTCTGCTGCTACCTGCTGCCATCCAATCCTGAGTTCATTCCAGCATTCACATAGGATTGTAACAGTTTCTAATGCAGTTCCGTGCAGCAATTCAGTCGCAATTTTATTTCCATCGAGCGATATGCAACCTTGGAACTGTCTTGGTTAGTTTGATCATTTCCATCCTCATCTGTAATACAATGTTTCTACTGTGATTATATCTATTGCCTTGCTTTATTTAATTTGTTGGTCAAAACAATATAATCGACTGTCTTTGCGTATCCTCCCAGAAATCAAATGGATTAAGTCCCAAATTCATAATGTTTTTTTGGCAGCATGGGCTAAGGATTGTTTCCCCTAACGAGTCGTATAGGCAGTCTGCTCTCTACATATAGTGGCTGCTCATGCATTAAAACCTAATTACTCCGCAAGCACTGCACACACATATATTTTCTCCACCGGTTTTCTGTGCCTGAATTGGAAGTGCTTATTTAAATTCTGAGAGGCATGTTTCTGTTCACTTAGCAAAAGGATTATAATTTAAAGCTAATTTTACTCGATTCTTTACTGGTATACAGCAGCGCATTGAGGCTTGTGCGTTCCATGGTTAGTAATGAATTTTCTGAGTTTATGGTTGTTATTTCATCCTAAAATGTCTAATCTGTGGTAGATAACCTCTTTCTCAGTAGTTAGTTCTCGCTTAGGTTCTTGTATCTTTTCTTAGACTTTTGACGTTGGGGAGGGACATTTTCTGATGAGCTCCATTATTGTCTTTGATTGGTTGACCATTTCCCAAACCTCGGATTATCTACTAGTTCTTGTGCTTTGGGTTCATTTTGCATGTTGCCCAAATCTTTTTGCCTTGACCCCTACGCTGCTGTTTCTGGTTAATATGGGCACATGAAAAACTGAACTTCCTATCCAACCTTCTTGTTCTATTATTTTGGATTCAATCAATACCTCCACATTTGGTTTGGATTATCTTTTTTTATTTTTATAGATTTTATCAGGATGTATATTTCCATATCGCAAGCAATCTCTTTTCTACCTGATTTCCACTCAAATGATTTTGTCTTTGCTTCAGAGTTCTAAACAGGGCAGGATAGAGTTTAGGTGACTGAACTACGAGTCGGTGCTTTTATCGAAACTCTTCCCCTCTTCTGCTTGTATTCAAGATTATTAGAAAGAGGAAAGATTTTTTTTTTTTGTTAATTCTACCTTTACTGTGCTTCAGTAAGCTGTTATCTTTACCTTTTGAGGGCTTTTATCCAAAAACTGGGGATAGAAGGTATTTTGTTTCACAGCAAGAAACCATGTTTAAATTCTGCCCATGGATCAGCTTGCTGACTCGTGGGAATCCCTGGATGGATGGCTTGATGCAATCCGTCTGGTATACAAGCTGATTGCAGTTAGGCAAGAGTGAGGTCTTGGCAGGTATCGTAACAAGCTGATTGCAGTTAGTCCTTCTTTTCTTTTGAAGATGTATGATTCATGTATTGAAACTGGAATATGGTCGTTCAAATAAGTTGTATATGGAAGAATTTTTGTCATCGCATTTTTTTCTCTGCTTGATCAATTGCTGTACATTATTTTAGTTTAGGGTGGCAGGTGAGTGATCTTGTCGAGACTTTTGATGCGGATTATAGCAGATGAGTTCGATTTCTTGTTTTGTTTCAATAGTAACATTGGCACCAAACAGTATATTGCATTTTTGTAGCAATTCCAATGACTTAGAATTGGGGTTGGAGCCATCCATGACACTTTCACGCAATGATGTACGACTGGAAGCATAAGGCTTTTAATTTACAGAGCAATATTTTGCCTGAAGTTTTCAGTAATTTTCATCCTATGGCAAGGTAGAGAGAAATGAGGCAAATTGTGGAGATTTGATCAATTTCCATGTTTGATTAAGACTCTTAAATCTTTGAGAGTTCCTTTCAGCACACACATGCGCTCGCGCGCGCGCATTTCTTTTCATCTGGTGCATACTGCACGGAGAGAAAATGTGTACTGCCTTATAATTGGCTTCGGCCTGCTTTCGATCTGCAGTGCGGAAATTAAATGAAACGGGAGGCATTTTACAGGCTGCGTTAGTCAAAGCTAGGGGGATTAAGTATTATTAACGCCCATTTTGGTGATATAATCTGACAACAATTTTTCTGGAACTTGCAATATGTATCGAGTAAGTTCTTTCTAGGAAGCTACAAATTTCATGCAGATAGGTGGCTTTACTTGGGCCAAAGCAAGAACAGCTTCAGGAAGAGTCCACAGCCCTTCTCCACAGATTAATCCTGAGGCGACAGCAGGAACCATGAACTCAGCTTTCTTGGTGTTTCGTTTATGCCATATTAAAACAATCAAACTTCCAATACTCATATCTATCGCAAAGGAAGCACCAATGAGAAATGGAACACCCATGACCATAGGAAGTGGCATCCATTGTCCGATCTTCTGCGGTGAAAAATCTCTCACCAGGTTAATTGCTATAGCAAAAGCAAAGAAACCATAGCATAGCTGCAAGCAATGTTGGGGCAGAGCTGAGAAACCATCAACACCTAGAATTGCCATGTTTCTGTAAATTAGGGCATAAGGAGCTTTAAATTCTCCATATGGATTTCCAACATCAAATGCCTTGTAAAATAGGAAAAAACTGCTAGGAGCTGCGATGCACCCAATTACTGTGCCAACAACCTGACTCAAAAACATTGCTCTGGGGGAGGTGGATGTCAATTGTGCTGTTTTGAAATCCTGCATCAGGATGCAAGCAACAGAAAGAACAGATTTAACAAGGCCACATCCGGCAAGTGCTGCCACCACACCATTCTCTCTCCCGGATACCGCTGCTAGCACAAAGAGCGCAACTTTCCCATAATTATAGGCCATGTTTATATCGGTTAGACCAGCTCCATAGGCATTGCAAAATGCTAAAGATGGAGCAAGAACATAAGCGGCAATGACATAATACCACTTAAGTTGAGGAAATATGATTGGCACTGCAATTACGGATAGAATAGAGAAGGCTATGTATCCAATGACTGCTACCCACAAAGGTATTGTCTCTCTGAGGAACGTTTCATTTATTCTTTGATCATCAAGGTGCTTCTTCTGGTGATCCACAGCTGCTGGGAAAAAATACAGTTAACAAGCAGTGTACACTGCAACTGAAGCTTCAATCTACTTAGCAGCATTTGGTTACAGAACAGGAAAGAGCTGTAGAGGATAAAATAAAAGGATCTCCAATTTACCTTCACTGAGTTTCTTGTCCCGTACTCTGCCATGAACATTGATGATTGTACAAACCATTACCTTAACGAAATTGTAGAGCCCATCTCCTAGGATGAGAGCAACTGCTAAGAAAACCTGTCAAATTACAGCCATAAATTAAGGATCAATAAAATTTTAGAAGGCTAAGAAAACCGTACACTATTATCTGTTTCTGACCTTGTAACCATACAAACTCTTCATGCTAGTTTCTTCTAAAGAAGCTGGAAACCAGTCTCCCTTAAGTTGACCAATAAGTGGCCACATAACCCCATATGAGAGCACAGCTCCAAGAAGTAAAGACAAGTTCACTAGATGAGAAACAAGCATTCCAGCTCCAATGAAAGTGGTGTTAAAATCAAAGAAAAATCTACGAAACACCCAAAACCAGAAAGAAATGGTCAGTAACATGTAGAATAGAGGATAATTTAATCAGGAGGAAATAGATGTAAATACGTGTGCTTCCAAGCTTTCAACCCAAAAGTAGGGAACTGTGAGAATCCACATCCTTCTTTCCCAGTGTAAAACCACTGAAAAAATGCCCATAAGAAGCTGATTGAAAAGTACTTCATGAATCCACGAACTTGTTTCCTGTAATAGTAACTCATCATATTATTTCTAAGTTTGGTTTTTATAGATAGCACATGAGATATGTTAAATTTAGACCGTAAATATATATATACTTTGCCATCTTATCTCCTCTGCTATGGAAACCATTGATGAGAACTGCAGTTGCCATGCCACTTGGAAACGTTAAATTCATGTCTACTATCAGAATCTGCACCCAAAAGGCCAAACCAAACCGTTAGGAATATTTCAGCAAGAAAATCCCTAGCTTCATAAATTAAGATCTTGGGACCTTAGCTAGTTAGTGGGTAATCTATCTAAAAAAATCATCTTAAGTTGATAATCATTTCGTTAGCTTAATTTTAACTTAAAAATTTAAATTATTAAGTGAAATTTTATTATATAATTTATATTATTCTTTAAAATATTATTAAACACCATCAACTTTTTAATCATTCTAAATGGAAAGATTATTGGCTCTATTTATACCTTTCTAAGTGGAATCAAAACAAAAAGACCAACAAAGCAAACTAGGAACAGGTATCCACACATCCAACCAAATCCAGGTTCCTTTATAGAAGTTGAAGGATTTCCTTCAGTATGCACCCCTGACAACTCATACGTCTTCCTGTTTAACCCCAAAAGATAAGAAGCAAATCCACCTGTTGCCCAAGATAAATGAAAACCAACGTTAGTAACCTCAACTTGGCCAGGAATTATAAGATAAAATAATGTTTTCTACAAGGGTAATTGATCAGAGTATCAAAGCCTTAAACCTCCATGTGCTAGGCTAAAGCATGCAACTGCACAGGTTTGTATCATCGTATTCTCTTGCCGAGTAAAGGGTTTGACTACAAATCCTGCCCTTCGAAGCATTTGTGTCCAAGATCGAACGAATACAAAAGCAAGAAGTGCAGCAGAGACATTAAAATTTGGAGCCAGCCCAGTTGTGAGGTTTAGCTTCATAACTATCACACTGTAGATGGCTCCAATAAGAATGCTCGCTGTGAACCCTCTTACTGTGATTTGCTTTGTCCATGGTTGAGGTCTCCTTGACCCTTCTGGTTCATCTTGTGGATCCATCTCCATCTCCATCTCCATCTCCTCCCTCTCAATCTCTTTCTTTTCTATTGCTTCTTCAATCTTCATGGCTCAGCTAGGCAGTAGTTAGTACTGTATATGTATCATAAAAATCAACTCATCAGCATGTATGAAATGAAGTGAGGAGAGGATAGAGTTCACAAATATATAAAACTATGCATGCACGTTCTTAATTACCTTGGCTCTTTTAATTATTACATGGATCTACTTGGAGCTAGGTAGTCTTCTTTTCCCACCTACAGACGAATTGTATAGACTTAGAAAACTGTCGTCTATCAGAGCTTTGTCCTCTTCACATATACTAATCAAAATGCCTGTAAGCTGTGGTGATTTTGACATTTGCTCAAGCGGGATTTATGGCCTGTCCACAATTGTAATCAAGCTAGAAACTCAAAACTAATCAGATGATATAATTTACTTTCTCCTATGCAGGATTGAATTTATTACCTTTTTTTACATCACTAGCAATCCCCACCTACAGATTGAACATGTCTATGCATGTCCCTTTTTATACAAAACTGGGACAAATTAAATTATCGTGCATCTAAAACGGTTAATTTTTTTTATTAATAAGTTTTTTAAAAGTACTTTTAAATTTTAAAAAATATTAAATTAATATTTTTAGTATTTTTTAATGTGTTTAGTGAATTCATGTCAAAAATAAAAAAAAATTATTTTAATATAGTTTTTTAAAAAAGTTATTTTGAAAAACACTCTATAAATTATTTTAATATATTTTTAAAAAAAAGTTATTTTGAAAAACACTCTCTACTATAACTGCAAACACATACTTATATGCCATTTGTTTTTGTGATCAAAACTATGTTTAGGTGCATTTGACATGAAAAAACATCAAATTAATGTTTTTTAGTGTTTTTTTGATAATTTAGATAGGCTGATCTCTCAAATAAAAAAATCTAAAAATAATATTTTGATATATTTATAAATAAAAAATATTTTTAAAAATATTTTTTATTATCAAATGTTGAATTAATTATGAGCAATGTACTATAATTAATATCAATTAGAGGTAGACCTATAAGATCTTAAAATTGATCATCATTAGACCGAATATATAGCTGACCCTATCATTGACATCCTTTTTTTGTTTCCTTCCCCTCCATTAATGCTGTGAAAATGTTAGCTCACTAGTAGCAAAGATTCTTTTTTTCTGCGAGTGGTTAGACCGCAATGGGGGATGTCGATGCACAAGTGCGTCAATCATGCAATGGAGTGGAAAATGATGGCTGAAGAAAAAAACGTCTTTTTGTTGTCATGGGCCATGATCGAAAATCAATGTGAACCGCAGGTCAATACCTGCACAACGGATTGGTTTAAAGATACTTCTTGGATGATATAGTTCAAACGATTATATTATTTTTTAATATATATTTTTTCAAAATGTTTTAGACCGGAAACTTATATAAATTTATTATTATTTTGTTTTATTTTTTATCAATTAAAATGAATGATGATACTTAAATAAATAATTATTTGATTAATAATTGATTTTAACACTATATTAGAAAATATTTCAATTAAAAATTTAAATCAGTTAATTATATATATATATATATATATATATTCCCGTGTTAGTTTTATTGGTCATTAATTTTGAATTTTTAAATTTTTATTTAAGAAAATTTTGACTAATTTTTTCTGTAATTTTATATTAGATAAAAACAGTTATAAAAAACAGAAACTTTAATATTTCTAACACTTAATTTTTACAAATTCTAATAACTAAAACCAATTTAAAAAGTTGATCAAATTTAACTATTGTTAATTTCTCAAAAAAAAAAAAAACAAAGAGCATTAATGACTGGAGAGCACGTTTGATGTGAAAATGCGCTCTCTCCTGAGAGTTTTTCTTTAAATTTCATTTCAATTCTTAATTTGTGATCCCATAAGTACCAATAAACTCATAGGTTGCATTTAACTCCCGTCCCATTCCACATTTTGTAGGATTTAGAAGACGTTTGTTAATGAGGTTGCGTCTATGTTTTAAATAAAATACAAATATAACTTGTTTGGTAAAGAAAAAAAACAATTTATTATTCATGGATGCTACACTATTTTTGCATTTAAAATACAAAAAAAAGAAAAACAGACGAATATTATTTTCTGAGTGTTTCATATTAATTAATTAGCGTGAACAGTGGATAGCCATTAGTATTAACAGTGGAGCATGGCTATCCACTGTTCTTGCTAATTAATCTGCTGAGTTCTCAATTAATCCGTTGAGTTCTCCCATTTGTTCAGAAAAGAAATGAAAGACCACTCTTGTAATATATTTTTATTATGGTTAAAAGGAACAATGTAGCATGGTATACTGTGCACATGAACAGTATTAAAAGGAACAATGTAGCATGGTATACTGTTCACATGAACAGTATAGTCAGCTATAGTATTTTAGTTGGAGCGGTCCCAAGCTCAAAATACATTAAATTAAGTTCGACCTAGTAAAATAAAAAATAAAAATTATTTTTTATTTTTTATTTTTTAATTATATTTTATTTAAAAAATTAGTGTTTAACATTATTTAATAACACTATATAAATTAGACAGAAATCGCTTGATGACATAACATTTGCAGAATTTAATAGCAATCCCAATTTTTTCCCTGATTATATTATACATGGTGTTGTTGGGTGCTTAAGAAACAAAAAGAATGTAGTCCTTGTTGAATGTATTTCATACGTGATGGAATTGTAGATAATTTAATGAAATAATAAAAAATAATTTATATAAAGTATTTAATAAAAAAACCTAATTAAATCACAATTTCAAAGATGATATAAATAATCGGTAATTGATGCACGGGCTTAAGCCATGGTACATGGGGTTTTTTTTAGGAAAGGAATAGTTTCATTTTTATTTAATTTTTTTTATTAATATTGGTGTTCAGACTAATTTAGTATATTTAATTAATTTTATAAATTTATAAATTAATAATTATATAAATCTCTAATAATTATAAAAAACTCAAACTTATAATTATTAAAAAATAAATATAAAACTTAATTAGTTAAAATATCTTTAAATAAAATAATAATCAATTAATAAAACTATCATTTCAATGATTTCTTTTTCTCTTTTTTGTTTTAAATATTAAAACTCACGATAATATTCCAAACACTCATGAGCACAAGTTGTGCAATATTCAAACCTATCATTTTTAGATGAAAATTACATGAGCTTATTAGATTAGAAATTTTTTTAATAACAATGAAAAAACTCAAATTTATAATCATTAAAAAATAAATTTAAAATTTCATCAATTAAATTATTCGCAAGGAGTGGTTTCATTTTGATTGTGTTAACAGATAAATAAGCTGTCATTTTCTATGGGTTTCTTTTTCTTATTTTTTTTTATATTAAAACTCACGATAATCTCCCAAGGCATTCATAAGCACAAGTTGTGCGATATTCAAACCTGTCATTTTTAGATGAAAAATATATGAGCTTATTAGATTTGGAAAAACTTCAATTTAGCCCCTCAATGCAATGTCTCATTATCGATTGAGTTCAAAACCTTTTATTTCAATCAATTTTAACCCAATTCTAATTGATATTAGGTAATTTCATCCCTTTATTAATTTATTTGTATCATGGTGAAAAAAACTCCATCCAATTTATATGTGATTTGTACTAGGGGTGATCATTTTCGATTCGGTTCGGTTTTTATAAAAAAAAAATTAAAAAATCGAAAAAATCCTCCATTTTACTAATAGAATTAAATGTTAGGAATGCCCTTTATAGTAAGTTGAAGCTCATTTTAATTTTGAGTGTGCCACTGACAATAGATGGAGGAAGGGGCAATATTATCTAAATCTTTTTATTACATTTAGCAAGATTGATAAAATAAAATAAAATAAAATAGGACACAATTGATAATAAGATAATATCTTAAGGGTTACTTTAAAGTTTTCAGTTAGATTAATGAGAAAACGGCTGAAGAAAATAATTGGTGAGTTGAATATTCCCAGTCCGTCCAATTTTTTCCACTCTTTCAGCAGCACTCTTTGTTTAAATAACTGGGTCAAATATCTCATTCTGCGTCAAGTTATTACAACCTGGAATCCTTAATCCCGCTGCACTCGTATATTATTTTAACATTTGTTTTTGAACAACAAACGTAAATTCCAAAGGAACTTGTGTCCCTATCTGAAAATTGCTTAATACAAAAAAAAAAAAATCATCAATAAAAAGATATCGTTGGAAAACTATGATGACATTTATTAACGGAACATACCATTGTAGTTTCTTTCTGTAAATACTCAAAGAATTAAAGTTAGACAAATATTTCCTGGTTATTTTCATTGGAAAATATCACATGTTAATATTATGGATGAATTTATTAATACAATGTAACCGTCACTAATATTTGTTAATTTTTTTAATAATATTTAAGTTATAAAATGTCCTATCTTCTCTCTCTCCCTCATTTCTTCTTTTTTTTAAAAAAAAAAAATCATCATTTTCCTTTTATTTTTTCATAAATTCAATCATCACAAATTCAATTACCCCAGCATTTAGTCTATCAATATCTATATTCTTATTTAATTATTTTTAAAGATTCACTACATCAAGTTAGCGAACCTACCTGTTTTTTATTCTAACTTGTTCTTTTATATTAGTTTTTTTATGATTTTTACGTAGTATATGTGATTTATTAGTGTGTTTACTTATTTTATAACCTATTCATACAGAAATGTGTTGTGTGCATGTATAGTTTGTATATTTTACGGTGTTTTTTGAAATTTTAAAAAATTATATTTGTTTTTCATGTGATGAAACTGAATTTGATCTTGTAATTCGGATGTTTTATAATAACATTTTATATAGTCTTCTATGCAGGGAAGGTGCTGTCAAAATGTTTTTGAAATAGAATTTAATGATAATGTTATTACCTTGTTTTATATTTAATGTTTTTGGATGAAGAAAAGAAAGTTATTAGAGAGTAATACAAGCATGAGTACTACTAGTTTTTCTAACAGTACTTCTAATGATTATAAGGTGCTAGGTGCCAACCAAAACACCAAGCATAGACAGCCTCTTTAGAAACAGGCTCATCAAATGCAAGGTTAGCTTGTATAGGGGTGTCCCTTCTAAGAAAAATATATACGTTGAGAAATATATTGTTATGTGAAAGCTCAATCACAATATATAAATTTGTTTTCTTTTCCTGCATGGTAAAAAAAAAAACAACAAATGATAATTTTTGAATAATTAATTTCAATGAACAAATAAAATTTAAGGTTCATAAATGTAGAGACTAT